TTTCTTTTACTGTTTGAAATACGAGTTGATCCGAAATTCAACCAAATATCAACCAAACATACACACATTGAAATGTAACATTTTCAAGCCAAAGCGGCATATCAAACCATTCATTACGAATATACATGTTCGGTTTGCCAATCAAAAGAAAGTGAACCCAATACACTTTAGGGTTTCATTCGAAGAGCTATTCAAAAGATACATTTACATGAGCTCAACTTGCTAGTACAACCTTTCCAAAAGTGATCATTTTCCTATAAGGAAAACAAATGGAACGGAATGAGCTTAAACCCAGTGAGTTACTACCACATAAGCAACAAAGATCACATAAGCATAATCTTTCATTTCAAGTACACAATTAAGAAGTAAAACAAGTCGGTAAAAGGATACGGACGGCTCTCAAGAGCCCATTTCCATGCTTACATTCTTGATCCAATCTTATTGACTCTTCGTCAACGTTTATGAGTACCAACCGTAGACCTCACTTCACTCCATTCCTTCCACCAAACATACCCCAACCGGGCCCGCACTCCAATCAGTCATTTTGGTAATACTCGAGTATACCGGAACCAAGAGTCTCATTACTGCAAGATTCCCCAGTACAGTCCCCGTGGCACGTCAATATTCACGACCAAGCCCTCGCCGGCTCGATCCAATTGACTACCTACGGGGTTGAGCTCAGTAATACAGTAAGGCCGTTGGACATTCGTCCAAACGACACCAAATCAGTTTTCCATGAATGGAATTCAATATCTCATATAGCAAGTGCAGTATTTCAGTAAAACGGTAAACAGTCATGAATGGAATCACAAGGGGGTGAGGGCGGTCAAGTACACCCTCACCTCAATCATTTTCAATAGCCATATTAGCCGTCAAGGCATCAAATTCACATATACCAAAGCCACATTGTAACATTTAAGTGAGTAGTATACTCACCAATCAATTAAGTGCTATTTCATGCACTTCCGTCAGGAGAATGTCGTGAACCACCGTCACGCCCTAGAACACGTAAACAAATGCAATGAGACTCGATAACGAGTCATAAAGCAATGCCAATCACAACCCCCAATAGGGTTTATATGCATAAATAAGCATCATTGGTAACCAGAAATTAAGAAATGCCTTTAGCTTAAGCCTTAACAAAGAAACCATATTTGACCTCAATATGCGGTAATGGCACCAAATTCACTACGGTTATCGGATAGGGGTGTAAGACCCACCGTTTCGAAGCCAAGAAACAGGGCTACAACAATGTAGAAGGTCACTCAGTCCAAATCCTGGCACAACTAGGTCAAATATGCAAAATACTAAACCAGAATTACCAAAACAGGTTTGCAAATCACATAATTCTGTAATGAGTCCAACTCGGTCCATACAAGCCCAAATGCATTGATTCCAAAGGCATATGGTAGCTAAGACATCCCTCTATATTTCATCAGAAGACACCAACATCCAAATCCAAAGTAATTCCAGTCAAAATAGCCAAATACAAACGCAGTTCTGCCATCCTGATCAACCCAGAACAGCCACAGTAAAAATGCCATATCTCACTCTAAACTACTCCAAATGACCTGAAATTTTACAGGCACCTCAACTACATCAATACCTACAACTTTCATGTTTTGAGCAAAGGCCAATTCAGCCTCTAAGCCTGAGATAAAAAACCGGACAGAAAAGGGGGTTTTGAAACCCTAACATTTCACATTTCAATCCAAATCCAAAATTGGTTGCAATTATCAACAATTCACATCCACTAGAGTCATAACCCCTCATTATCAACCATCATAAACAACCACAACACCATGATCACATTAAACCAGAAAATTCCTCAAAAAAATAAAAACTTCACCAATTCATCACAAATCAAGAAATAATTCACATAATCCATCACTTTAGCTTCCACTAGGCACAAATTAACCATCATTAAGTATAGGAGAAAGTTTAAGCATCACTTACCTAGTAAACAAGAGAGGGGAAGTTGTTGGACACCTTAACTCTTCCAAAAAGCTTCACTAAAGCACTCACTAGCACCAAGTGGAAGGATTTTATGGAGTAGAAACACAATCAAGCAAATATTTTGGGTGATTTGGACTAATTGGTAGCTAAAACTTGAAGAGTTTTCCTTCCTTCTTGAGCTTAGGAGAGCCGGCCACCAAGGAGAAAGAAAATGGTGAATTTTGGTGAATTTTAAGATATTTAACCAATTTGGTCAAAAGTCAAAAAAATGGAATAGTAAATCTTAAGTCAAAACCAATGAAATGGTGACACTTGGCACTACCATTAATGCATTCCTATCCCTTCTTTTTCCTCTCACATCAATCATTTCACATACTCTACTTATCTCTTAACACCCGATAAATTTTACACAGTATCCTAAACTTAACCTTATTGGCCGAATTTTTCCGAACTTTTCGCACTAGTGGGTCCCACGTCCATTATATATTCTTAATTTTCCAAAAACTCTCCAAGGCTAGAAAAATCATCTAAAAACTATAATTACTCATAAAAATTCCTCAGGAAAATTTCCTAAGCTAGGAAATGCAGAAAACATGCTATTAAAGGAAATAAAACCCTCGGAAAAGATTAGGGTTTTTATGGGTTCTCACAAAAGGTCTTAATGAAAATTATATGGAAAAGGAGGACAAAAATACCTTAACTTCACACTTAAAATCTTACTTGAAATAGTTCACTTGTGGCCGGGAAAACCCTAACTCATACCTTTATATTTTGTTAAGGCGTAAGTAACATTTAGAGTTTTAAATTAAAGAGGTATCATGTTTTAAAATGGGAAACGGTCATGGTATTTGCCAAATAAAGATAGACAAGTTCAAATAGAAACTTAGCCCTCGTACACCTCTCGAGCGAATCGATGAAATTTTTAATGAAATACGTTTAACTTGACACAAAACACATTTCCAAAACCATTTTAACTCATTCTCATGACAAGAAAAGAAACGGACAGCATTTCTCCTAATTTTCTTCACTTTCACCCTACAATCAAAAACCCATTGCTCATAGCAATTAACCATTATCACATATACAATTAACAAGCAATAAAACACACTCAATTAGGCCACATTATCCTTCAATCAAAGCCAATTAGAAGCTTAAAATCCAACTATAAGAAAACCCACCCCCAAATTAAACCCTAGAACCCGAAATCCACACCACAAGAGGAAATTTTCTGCAAACAAACGTGAGGATGCTCACCTCGGCCACCCCGCGTGTCCGAGGTGAACCCAAGCCTCGTCCCTCACCAGAGCTCATCCCTGTCTTGAGCATAACCCCTGAGCTCGGCTAGATCCCTAGTCTACCGTGTGGGCGACCTCGGCACATCCACCTCGGCTGCACACTGATGATGTCAACCCACCTGACATCATCCAGGACCAGCACTTTATCTGAAAAGCACTGGAGGCCCTTAATGGCACCTGCACCATACCCTCCGTCATCACTCCCAGGCGGCTACAGTGTCAGTGTCAGACCTCCTGACAGGAGACAGAGCCGTAATGCCAGAGAGTGGGTCCCGCTAGCATGAGCCTTCCGTCTTGACCACTACTCTTCTATAAATACCTCACTCACACTCCCAACAAGTAAGCATACACTGTTCATTTGCTTATACTCTTATTATTCTCGTTCTCATACTAACTTGATCGTCGGAGTGATCCCAGGGGAGAAGTCCCGCCACTCACTTCGGACACCGAGGTTCACTTCGGACACAGGAGTTCACCTCACTTCATCTCAGAAAGGACTGATCCAGGTCGGTCTAGTTACCAACCAAAAATCACCTCCTCAATTGGCGCCGTCTGTGGGAACGAGATCACTACTAAAAATGAGATCCACGCGTTCCAGAAGCGGAAGAGTTCCCTCAAACGGGGCTGGGCAGACCTCGGGAGCCCGGCAAGACCGCATCTCTGAAGAACCAGGGTCCCAAAGGACCCAGCCCAACAATGAAGACGCCATCGCCAAGATGGCCGAGTTTGTCACGGACAACCCCAACATCTTTGAGGAGCTAGGGAGGTACCTCAAGAGGCAAGGAAAAGAAAAGGCCGAGTCCTCCAAGAGGAGGCCGACGAAGTCTCCCGAAGTACCCTCAGGGGAGGACTCTGACGAGGGGCGTCTCTCTCGGAGTACCTCCAGGCGTGCCTCCTCCAAGGCGACCTCTAAACTTGCCTCCATCTCCCGGGCGTTTTCACGGGGACTGCTGGGGAAACGAGCTGAAAACCCACCTCGGCGCCCCGGTGGACTAGCTTCTGACTACATGAGGGCTCCGCCCTTTACGGATGACATCAATGGGGAGATGGTACCCCCAAACTTCAAGCTTCCGAACTTGCACACCTATGATGGTCGAGGTGACCCCGAGGATCACCTCCGCGCCTTCATTTCCGCTTTCCGCCTCTACTGCGTCCCCGACGCTGTGATCTGCCGAGCTTTCCCCATCTTCCTGCATGGGACTGCCCGGAAGTGGTTCTGGAGTCTGGAACCCGGGAGCATTTCCTCCCTGGATGAGCTGATAGACCGGTTCATCCACCGCTTTGTGTCGTCCCGACCAATCACAAAGACTTCAGCTTACCTCTTGAACCTGCAACAGGGTCAGGGCGAGTCACTTCGCTCGTATGCTCAAAGGTTCAATGATGAGAATATGCAGATACCTGATCAGAACGAGCAGGTAACCCTTGCTGCTTTCACCAACGGGTTAGTAGCTGGGATTTTCAACACCGAAATCCATCGAGAATACCCCCGTACACTTCGGGAACTTTGGAAAAGAGTGGACCAGGGAATCCGAAGTGAAGATGTAATCCGAAGTGGACCAAGCATCTCGTACGGGGCAAGATCCCCGGAGAAGGAAAGACACCGGCCGAAGTGAACCAGGCCCAAGTGGCACCTCAACCCAACTTCGAGATCGCCGGAGTGTCTTCGACCGGATCGTGAAGGGAAGGTCGTCCACCTCGGACGCCGAGTTGACCCCGCTCAACTCAAGCCGGTCTCATGTTCTGGCGGTGATGAGGCAAAACCACCTCGGCCGAACACCTCCCGAGATTCCGGGGAGGAGGGATAGGAGAAACTCCAACCTCTACTGTGCCTACCACCGAGACGTTGGGCACGAGACCGAAGATTGCAACGATCTGAAGCGAGAGATCGAAAACCTGATTCGACAGGGACACTTGAAACAATTTGTTCGCAAAGATGGAGGCTTCGACCGAAGTGCTTCCCACCGGGAGAGCCGAGGTCCTCGTCGAGAAGACAGGCGGGACACCAAGCTTAATTGCCGAGGCCCTGAGGACCACAAGGGGGATCAGAGGCCTCCACGTGACGGATCACCAGGCTACGACCCAAACATTGCCGGGGTGATCAATACCATCTCAGGTGGCCCCACGGGAGGAGACAGCCAGAACTCCCGGAAGCGGACCTACCGCCAAGCCGGTATGGATGTGGCTGAGCCGAGCTCGAGGCTGTCCGAGGTGATAACCTATGGTCCCCACGACCCTGTCCCCGCTGCCTCCAGCAATCACGAGACCCTCGTGATTGAGGTCCTCACAAACAATTACATAGTCAAAAAGGTCTACGTTGACCCCGAAAGCTCGGTAGACGTCATGTACTACCGGACCTTCGAGAGTTTGAAGTTGACCCGGGAGCAACTCACTCCGGTCAGAACTCCCCTTGTCGGCTTCGGGGGACACGTCGTCCACCCGGAGGGCATGGTGAATTTAATGGTGACTATTGGGCGTCATCCCCGTTGCCGAACTGTGCCTGTCAGTTTTGCGGTGGTCAAAGCAGAATCTCCTTATAACATGCTGATAGGCCGGCCCACGCTCAACGCCTTGAGAGCGTATATTCCACCTACCACCTGAGCTTCAAGTTTCCAACGCCGGAGGGGGTGGCCGAGGTGAGCAACGACGTGGGCGCCGCCCGAGAATGCTACCTCGCCACCATCCAAGCCGCAGTCGGACCTCAGCCCTCGCCGAGGTCAGAAGAAAAGAGGACGGCTGTCCTCTCCATACACTGCCTCGACCTTCAGAAGGCAGGAGAGCCCAACAGGCTTGAGCCTGGGGATGAGGTGGAACTAGTGGTCTTGGATGAAGTGAACCCTGACCAAGTGGTCCAAGTAGGGGCCGGGCTCCCCTCACCCCTGAAAGAAGAAATGATCTCCCTGATCAAGGACCACCGGGACATCTTCGCGTGGTCCGCAGATGAAGTAGTCGGAGTGCCACCCGAGCTCATGACTCACCAACTCAACGTTAACCCACAGGCCCGACCTGTGCGGCAGAAGCGAAGGCACTTCGGCCCCGAACGTAGCAAGGCCATCTCGGATGAAGTCGACAAGCTCTTGCCGGCTAAGATGATCCACGAGGTCCAATATCCCACCTGGCTGTCCAACCCAGTCATGGTCAAAAAGGACACCGGTGGATGGAAAATGTGTGTAGAATTCACCGACCTCAACAAGGCCTGCCCCAAAGATTGCTATCCTCTGCCGAGGATAGACGCCCTCGTCGACTCGGCGATGGGGTATGAAGTCCTCTGCTTCCTAGATGCCTTCAAAGGGTATCATCAAATAGGAATGAGTGAAGAGGACCAAGAGAAAACGGCGTTCTACACCGACCGAGGTACTTATTGTTACACTACTATGCCCTTCGGGCTAAAGAACGCCGGGGCGACCTACCAAAGGCTGATCAACCGACTTTTCAAGAATCAGATCGGCCGCAATGTGGAGGCCTATGTGGATGACATCCTCGTCAAAAGTCTCGCCACTTCATCCTTCCTGTCAAACTTGAGGGAAGTCTTCGGGGTCCTGCGAGACTCGAGGATGAAGCTGAATCCCAAGAAGTGCGTCTTCGGCGTCACCTCGGGAAAATTCTTGGGGTATCTGGTTTCCCACCGGGGAATCGAGGCCAACCCCGACAAAATCAAGGCCATTCAGGACATGTCCCCACCTCGGAACGTTCGAGAAGTCCAAAGGTTGAATGGACGCTTGGCTGCGTTGAACCGCTTCCTGTCCCAATCCGCTGAAAAAGCTCTGCCCTTCTTTAAGGTGCTGAAGAAGGCTAACCAATTTACCTGGACTGAGGAGTGTCAGGCTGCCTTCGACCAGTTGAAGCGGTACTTGCATCACCTACCCACTCTCGCTTCACCTCGACCCGAGGAGAAGCTCTACCTCTAGCTCTCTGCAGCCGACGAGGCTGTCAGCGCTGTGCTCATCCGAGATGAGGGCACCCAAGTGCCAGTCTACTACGTCCGCCGGGCCCTCCGCGGGCCGGAGACTCGATACACTCAGGTGGAAAAACTCGTGCTGGGGCTAGTCCACGCAGCTAGGCGATTGAAGCCCTACTTCCTCGCCCATCCCATCTCCGTCCGGACTGACCAGCCCATTCGGCAAATATTGGTCCGCCCCGAGGCTTCCGGTCGCCTCACCAGGTGGGCTATTGAATTGGGAGAGTATGACTTGTCCTATGAGCCCCGCACGGCCATAAAAGCTCAAGCTCTGGCCGACTTCCTGGCCGAGCTGACCTTCACCGAAGGATCTGAGTCCACCTCCGCCGTAGCCGAAGTGTCCACCTCACCCTCATGGACGCTGTACGTAGACGGGTCTTCTAATGGGGATGGCAGCGGAGTTGGACTGCTCCTGGAAGGACCTCAGGGAGAAGTGTGCTCTTACGCCCTTCGCTTCGGCTTCCCAGCCACCAATAATGAAGCCGAGTACGAGGCCTTAATTGCTGGACTCCAGCTGGCCCGTAGACTCGGCGCCCAACAAATCCATGTCCGCGGTGACTCCCAACTAGTAGTACGCCAGGTTCTTGGTGAGTACGAGGCCAAGGATGAGACCATGCAACGGTACCTCTCCAAGGTTCACCAGCTCACCGCATACTTCGAGTCTTTCGAAATCCAAAGAATACCCCGATCCCAGAATAAGCGAGCCGACGCTTTATCCCGGCTGGCTTCCACTTCATTCTCTGACCTCAACAAAACCGTCTTGGTGGAGGTCCTGAGTGAACCAGGATACGTGGAAGAGGTGGCCTGCCCCGTCCACTCCGAAGATACCTGGATGACCCCGTTCATCCTCTTCTTGAGTCAGGGAACACTTCCCCAAGACCGAGCCGAGGCGAGAAGAATACAACGCAAGGCGGCTCGGTACGCTCTCCGCGATGGAGAACTATATAAACGCTCTTATCTCGGCCCATGGCTGAGCTGTGTCACTCCCGAGGCCGGAGGTCATGTCCTCCACGAGATCCATGAAAGCCTGTGCGGAGCTCACGTCGGCCACAGGATGTTAGCCAAGAAGACTATGCTCCTTGGATATTTCTGGCCGTCACTTCGGCAAGACGCCCAGGACCTCGTTCTCGGCTGCCCTTCCTGCCAAGTCCACGCACCCGAGCACCACCAGCCCTCAAATTTCATGGTTCCCATCACTTCACCCTGGCCGTTTGAGCAATGGGGGACAGACATCATAGGTCCTTTCCCTAAAGCCGTCGGGGGTTATACCTTCCTGGTGACCGCGGTGGACTACTTCACTAAGTGGGTCGAGGCCGAGCCACTTCGGACTATTTCAGGGCTAGCCATCCAAAAATTCTTTTGAAAATGCATTATCTGCCGTTTCGGCATACCTCAGGTCATCATCTCGGACAATGGGAGACAGTTTGCCGAGAACCCATTCAAGACCTGGTGCGAAAACCTCGGCATCAAACAACACTTCACTTCGGTAGGCCACCCTCAGGCCAATGGTCAAGCAGAAAACTTCAACCGAACTCTCCTGCATGGTCTCAGGACCCGACTACACCGAGCTGGGTCATCTTGGGTGGAGGAACTCCCCAGTGTCTTGTGGTCGTATCGGACCACGCCGAGGTCAGCGACGCAAGAGACCCCATTCTCCCTGACCTACGGTGCCGAGGCTGTCATCCCGGTTGAGATCCTTACCCCCAGCCCTCGGCTGGCAGCCTATGCCGCCGAGGTGAATGACGAAGAGAGGTTGCTGGACCTCGACCTCGTCGAAGAACGAAGGGACCTTGCCTCGGCCCGGATAGCTTCATACAAGAACACACTGGCCCACTATTACAATGCCCGTGTCAGACATCGTAGATTCCGTCCTGGAGACTTGGTTCTCAGAAAAAATTCAGTCAGCCGAGCTGAACCGCAAGGGAAATTATGCCCGAAATGGGAAGGCCCTTACCGAATTGTGGAATCTGACCCTAAGGGGTATTGTAAACTGAGTTACCGAGATGGCTCATTAGTGCCGAGGTCTTGGCACGCCGAGAACCTTAGGTTGTATTATGCTTGAAGTTGTGACTTCATCCAGTTATCTTGTCAAGTTATGACTTCAGCTATTTAGTTATTTTTCAACAATATGATGCCCAGCATCCGTTATTAAAAAATAAGGGGGACAAACAAGGGATGAAGTCAAAGCAAGAATCAAAAAACGCTGAGATGAGAAGAAAAAGGCTTTCATTCAATAGAAAAGAGTGCTACAAAAAATACAAGGCTGAGGTCCGAATGCTACTAAGCACTCTCCACCTCGGCCACCCCCTAAAGCCTATGAGCCTAGACCCCCGTCTCGGTTCCATCACCGGCCTTGGCTCCCTCTTGGGCAGCCTTCTCTTCGGCCTCTTTTCCGCCGGGGTGATCATCTCCATGCTCTTTGCCTTCGTCCCCTCCGGCTTCGCCTCCCTCAGCGTCCTCTCCTCCAGCTTCTTCTACTTCCACCTCCTCGAACACTTCGTCGAGTTCGGACAGCCACTTGTTGAACTCGACCTGGACTTCGGGCAAGTTCCTTCCTGCCTGGATGCCTTCGGCCATCCGATCGCATAGCTCCTTGGAGTCCTCGTTGTAGCTGGCATGGTTTTTCAAAGACTCCAAGGCTTCGGAGGAGAGGTGAGCTGCGGCCTCGTCAATGGCCGATATGAAGCCAAACATGAAGTTAGGCGTAAGCAGTTGGCCGAGGTCCTTGATGAAGGCATCGGACCTCCGAAACGCGTCCACTGCCGAGGCTCCAGCACCCTCGAGAGCTTGTGCGTGAGACTTCTTCACCTCGTCCCCCCTCTTCTGCTCCTTCTCGAGGGCTGATCTGAGACTATTCATCGTAGCCTCGGCCTCCTCACCCTTAGCTTCAGCCTCCTGAAGTCGCCTCTGAAGCTCCGACTTCTCGGATTCGGACACCGCCAGTTGTTTCTCCAACTTGGAGATCTGATTCTGTAGCTTGCCGGTGTCCTGCTCCTCGACCAGAGCACAGTATCTGTGAGCCATCTCGGCCGCAAAAGCTGAGTTGGAAGCCGTGGTCACCATCAGACTTTGAACTAGCTCGGTCGGGCTCAGTTTTTTCATGAACTCCAAATCCCTTGGCAGAGTGGAGTGCATTACTAGCTCGTGAGCGACCCGAGGATGTTGGCACCTGTCGTTGACCGAAATCTTCCAGTTCGGACACCAATGATTGCCGGAGTGCGTCTTCTCGTCTCCGGGAAACACTGGGGGGCTATGGAAACGATTCCATAGCGAGGTCCCCGACACCGGATTGACTGGAGGCTTCAGCTGCTTGCCTCGGCCAGAAGGAGGTGTGACTGTTGTAACAACTCCAAGGGGAACTCCCTTTGGTACGGACGAGGTGGACCCAGTAGCCGCGGTGGCCGAGCTGCTCTGGCCGACCTTGGTGGGAGTGCTTGTAGCCGCCGGGGTCTTGGCAGCCTGTCCTTGTGCTTTCTTCTTCTTCGGCGGAAGTGCCGATGTCTCGTCAGTACTCTTTCTCTTCGGCCTCTTGGCCACTTCGGACGAGCTGGATACGACGATATCAGACAACTTGACCACTGCACAAGAAATAAATATTATCATATGCCTTAGCCGAAATGAAAAGAAAAGTCATGAAAGAAAATTACAAGGCTTCTTAAGTTCAGTGGAAAAGAAGGGAGCTTTGGTAGTATTGATCACGGCTCGACTTATCCCCCCATCCACGAGCACGGCTTCGGGGTAGTCATGGCTGAACAGCCGAAGTCCCGACTTCATCAGCTTCTGGAAGGACTCCTTTTCGGCATCTCCCGCAGAGGGGTCGGCCTTCGCCTTAATTGGCCTCCACCAAAAACCCCTCGGGAAGTCCACTCCGGACACGAAAAAGTAGTCGTGCTTCCAGTTCTTGATCGAGCTGGGAGCACCGATCACCAACTTCGGGATGGCATTGTTCCGGTTGCCAACATAAAACCATCCCTTATCCGTCGCGTGCGCCTTGAGGGTGTAGCATCGGCGGAAGAGATCGACAGAGGGAGTCACCTCCTGATGTCGGCACAGCATCTCAAACCCCACAATGATGCGGATCGCATTCGGGGTGAGCTGGGTGATTCTCACCTGGAAGTGACGAAATAGGTCCCGGAGGAACCTCGACGTCGGCATCCTCAGCCCGGCCTCCAGCTGTTGAACGTAGACGGCCACCATGCCAAAGGGGGGCTTCGCGGCTGTGTCATCCACCTCGGGCGGCAAAATTTCGTACCACGGCCGGAAGGGGTACTTGTCTACCACCTTCACGGCCCTATCTCTTCCTACGCGACTCCTAAACTTCGGCATCTGGCCGAAGTCGATGTCGGCTGCGTCCACTGGAGCAACTGGCTCCGGAACGCCCTCGTCATGGGGTATCTCGGTCCCGAGCTCGGTATTGTATTCGACCTCGGAACCACCCTCGCTCATCTCGGACGATTCCAATCCCGAGCCTGCCTCGCCGACTCTCACTTCGGTTGATCCTTCTTCAGAACTCGGCGTCGACCCCTCAGGACTGGACGTTGTCGCTTCTTCTTCCGGATCTGGCCTCACCTCGGCCTGGTAGCTCGGGGCCACGATTTCTTTATGGGTCTTAGCGGTTTTGGCCATGTGTGAAAGACGAGATGGAGAGAGAGAGATACTTACTATTGACTACGATGTCGGATGAAGACGATGACTTCAGATGGGATCTCGGCTGCAAGGTTGACCTTGGCAACACTCGTAAATTTTGCTAATCGCAAGCTAAGAGAGAAAATGATGGGCCATACGGTGAAAAGGACCCTCTATTTATAAGGGTCCTTGGGAATCCGAAGAGGCGGCAAGAATGCGAAAAGACAACCACGTTCGAATTCAAAACACCACGCCTCCCTCTCTCCTCATTAATGCCCCGTCCTTTCGGCTGACACCCTCTGCACGAGACGTCCCACTACTTCACAACGCGACGGTTACGTGCCAACTGACTCCAAGTCCTTTCAACTGACATGCCACGTGTCACGCCCCCGCATCTTCCGGAGCAGGTTCGGGACTCCAACTCTTCATGGCTTCGGCACAAGGAAGCCTCGGTACCTCCCTGGCCCAAAGCTCCCGAGGCTTGGGGGGCTTATTGAGGATGCTCACCTCGGCCACCCCGCGTGTCCGAGGTGAACCCAAGCCTCGTCCCTCACCAGAGCTCATCCCTGTCTTGAGCATAACCCCTGAGCTCGGCTAGATCCCTAGTCTACCGTGTGGGCGACCTCGGCACATCCACCTCGGCTGCACACTGATGATGTCAACCCACCTGACATCATCCAGGACCAGCACTTTATCTGAAAAGCACTGGAGGCCCTTAATGGCACCTGCACCATACCCTCCGTCATCACTCCCAGGCGGCTACAGTGTCAGTGTCAGACCTCCTGACAGGAGACAGAGCCGTAATGCCAGAGAGTGGGTCCCGCTAGCATGAGCCTTCCGTCTTGACCACTACTCTTCTATAAATACCTCACTCACACTCCCAACAAGTAAGCATACACTGTTCATTTGCTTATACTCTTATTATTCTCGTTCTCATACTAACTTGATCGTCGGAGTGATCCCAGGGGAGAAGCCCCGCCACTCACTTCGGACACCGAGGTTCACTTCGGACACAGGAGTTCACCTCATTTCATCTCAGAGAGGACTGATCCAGGTCGGTCTAGTTACCAACCAAAAATCACCTCCTCAAAACGCAATTAACGCATAAGAGTTCCATTTAACACCATCTCAACTCTTTAATCTAAGGCCAATCCATGACTTTCATATAAAATCAGAAAAATCCCCAATAAATCAGAAAATGGTCCAACTTGACCTAAAACCATGAAATCATCCACAATATAGCATCTTTAACCTTCACAATCCATTAATATACCATTATTCAAACAAAATAATAACTTCCTTAGCAACTCACCTTGCAACTCAAGAAGGGTAGGAACTTAGAGCTTCATTTCCAAAAACAACTCCACACCCACCTTTAATCCTCCATAGTATACCTTTGTATGGAGTGGTTCGAAAATCCAACGGTGAAATATCAAGATTCAAGAGAAAATTGAAACTAAAATTTGGAGAGCTTTCTTTCTTTCTCTCAAGGCTCACGGCTGGGATAAGGAAGAAATAAAGATATTTTGGGCCAAAAGTGAGCTAAAAAGGAAGGAAACAGTCGGTCAAAGCTGGTGACCGACTGTGACACGTCACAATCTGGCCAGAATATGGCCGGATTTCCGGCCGGATTCCTGGCCGGATTCAGGCCAGAGACGAAATCATTTTTTTTCAAAATTCCACAACAATCCGGCCAAGAACTGGCCGGATTCGGCCCTTCAGTCTTTTCGCAAAATTTTTTCTCTTTTCCGGATTCGATTGCCGCGCTCACCCGTACTTCCAACACGCACACATATATACATATCTCACACACAAATACACGAAATAACAAAACCTTCCTTTGTATAAAACAATTGGTTAACAAGTTTTCACTTAAAAGGGGAAGTGAGAATAAACCAAGAGGTTAAGAAAATGTGAAAGGTTTAGGGTTATCACAATCACACCAATACGAAGCGTCACGGCGGGTAAAGGAAAGAAACTTCAACCGAGATTCGTCGGACCTTTCAAAATTCTCCAAAGAATTGGAAAAGTAGCGTATCGACTTGAACTACCATCAAGTCTGTCCAGAATTCACGACGTCTTCCATGTCTCGATGCTTAAGAAGTATTATCCTGACCCGACTCACATTTTGTAACCAGAGGAGATTGAGATAGATGGGTCACTCACCTATGAGTAGAAACCTGTGCAATTGTTCGACCGAAAGGTTAAGGAGTTGAGAAACAAACAAATCCCTTTGGTGAAGATCTTGTGGAGAAATCATGGGATAGAAGAGGCTACCTGGGAGGTGGAAGAAGAAATGCAAAAGAAATATCCTGAACTATTTGTGAATCAAGGTGAGAAATTTCGAGGACGAAATTCTTTTAAGGGGGAGAGAGTGTGAGAACCCGAAATTTTCTTATTTTCTAGGCTTTATTTTATTTATTTGCACACCTATTC